AATGGGATGTGGGACCCTGGTTGCTGAAAGTGTGAGGTACTGTTGAGGCTAATACATGGGGCTGATTTTTTAAACGTAAATGTATTTTTACTTCTGTTCTTCTAACACTTTATCATTTTTAGTGGCTTTACATGCTAACAATCCTGAATCGCTTGATTCTTAGCACAGTTTTTAGGATTAATCGCTCTGAAAGGACAGCTTTGTCTTAATGGAAATGTTAATCTTAACAACAGATCTGAAGATGGCTGGCATGTCTAATTACTTTATTGGATTGCTTCCACTTTTGTTATTCCCCATTTCTCTTACTGACCAATAGGTGGGAAGACCACATGTAGCTGAATTATTTGTCTTAGAAGTTCATTGGAAACACTAAGGTTGGGGGATGTTATGGCATCAAGGTATGTGGTCCTGAAAGAAAAGCTATTTTCATTTTTTTAGATTCTTGTCTAAGGGACAAGAAACTAACCAGTACCATCTGCCTACCATTCTGAACTGTCTCATTTAGGAGTCTTTTCTCTTAAATTGTCAGTGAGCATAAAGCACTAGGAAATGCTTCTTGAACCCAGAGTCCAGTTATATGTTTTTTACCATATATTGGACTATTTTATACAAAATCTGCCACAGTTTTGAAGGCCTGTAAGTTTAAGAATGCATCATGCTTTTGCAGAACTTCCTTCATGCAAGTCTTAGCCCTTTGCTACTGGCTTTTTTTTGAGAGGAGTGGGATTAAGTAGGCACCTCGTGGCTTTCAATATCCCTGGGGTGTACATAGCATCTGCACTGACATGGTTGCAAGGGACCTCTGGAGATCATATAGCCTAACCTCTTGCTCAGAGTGGGACTATTTCCACACTCAATCAGACCTGCCTTTGCCTGGCCAAGCTCTGAAGTCTTCAAGGGTGCAAATCTTACCGCCTCTCTCACAGCCTGTAATAGGCAACGTGTTCCTAGCAAACGTTACCTAGGGAAACTACCTAGACCTTTTTAGATCTAACCTGAACATTCAAGACACAATCCACTGCCCCTCCTGTATAGACTGGCACTACAGAGAAGGGCAACAACAGAGAACTGAGCCAAATTCGAGTAGTTGTAGGCAGCTGCTGGATTCCTCCCTAGTCTCCTCTTCAAATGAAGAGGAGCAGGCCTCAAGCAGGCCTGCTTCCTCTGCATTTCTTCATAGACCATGTGCTAAAGGCCTATAATCATCTTTGAGAAGCCTCTATGCAAACTCGCCTGCTTCTCCACATCTGGGATCCCAAAATATTAATCCATGTTTGTCCTCACTAGTGCCAAGCAGAGAAAGCTAACGACTTCCCTTAATCAGCTGGCTGTGCTCTTCCTAATCAATCCCAGTTTGCAATTTCCTTCACTCATTATGAGAACGTGTGGTTGGCTCGTATTCAGCCTAGTGTCCTTCATAACTCCCAAGGCCTTTCCAGCAAGGCTGTCACTCAGCCACTCTGTTCCCAGCCTGTACCAGTGCATGCGGTTGTTCCACTCCAACAGCAGAATTGTGCACTTCTCCTTGTTGAGCTTCGTGAGGTTTTTTTTATTGGCCAGAGGTTTATGCACATCCCTCTAGACTGCAGCTCTGCTGTTTGCCACCTCAGCACATCTGTACTTTCCACTGCTGCCATTCCAAGAGCAGCAGGAGCTGAGCAAGATACAATACAACATCTAAAGTGGCACTAGATGTGTATGCTTAGATATTTAAATTCCACCCCAAGATATCTGATAGTAGCTGTGACAGTGGCTTCTCCACATGACAAAGTCTAATGCCATAATTAAATACCTTGAATGAAAAGCCAGAGCAGGCCAAGCCAACAGCATCTGCTTGAATCTGGCATAATGAACTGGAGAGAAGCACAGCAAAACTCATTTGGCTAATGCTTATATAAGAATTTTTAAGTGCAGAAGCTGACAAACGTCAGGCTGTGAATCTTTTCTACTTACCTTTGCTTGTTGAGATGCTCTGTAGTCTTTTTTTTTATTTTATTTTTTGTAGTGTATAGGGTTTTATTCCTGATAGGCGTAATTTCACCTGCACTGCAATCGTTGGTTTCACTATAGTGTGGTAACCCCCTTTTATGTTGTGTCAAAGGACCTCTTGTATGTCTTTATGCCTTCTGCACTAACAACACATAGCAGAGGGAGGGCTAGACCTTTTTTCAGGCTCTCACTGAATGGCACAAAGAGTTCACATTCTCACAGTTTAGTGACAACATTAAATTTTATACTTAGTTTTTCCACAGTGTGGAGCTTTGACACTTTTTTACAGTTTGACACTGAGAACCTTTTATGACTGATTACAGAGAGGAGCTGAGATTGCGGATTTTCAACCAGTCTTTCTTGTAAATTGCCACACTATTTTGTGAATTTTCAGCCTGAAGTGCATGCTACATTCCTGAGAGTTTGCATAAAATGTATTGGCTGATGAAACCAAAGACTAGAGACAGATGCAGGAAAATGGTATTGGGTGCAAAAGATATCAAAAAGAGGCTCCAGGACAAATGATAATGACATGGCACCCTATTTTAAAAAATACTGCAGGGGATACATCTTTCCTAAGTAGAAGCATACAGACTAGATGCTCAATGTAGCAGGCAAAATAAGAAAAAAGGGGAAAAGAAACAAACAAAAAAAGAAAAAAGAGAGAGAGAGAAAGGAGAAAAGAGCATCTTCTTCCTTATTTTGCTTTTTTTTTCTGAGTTTTTGAGATCTCTGAACTTTGCAATGCCAAATGCTAAAATGTAGCAGAAACAGAACTCTCATTTTCTAGTCAGGTCTTGGTGTGTTTTCTTTCTTTTTTTTTATCTGTTTATATACATGTTCAAACACACAGGCACACACATATTAAAAAAACTCCCCTATACTGTTCAATAAAACTGTGTTGAAAACTAATCAGTGGACAGCAATTTATAGACCCACTCTACACAGATAGACCCAAACATAAATTCTTCTCATGAGTTTGCACCCGATTTGTAGGATGACTATCAGTGAGGGCGATAGTTGAGATATGGAAAGTGAAACAATTTTGATTATTTACTATTAGGGAAGTTTATTCCATGCTTAGATGACAATGTAACACAGAGAGGGATTTTTTGTGGGTTTTTTTTTTGCTTGTTTGTTTTTGGGTTTTTTTTTTGGTGATGGTGGGGCTTTTTTTTTTTTTTTTTGGGTTGGTTGGTTGGTTGGTTGTTTTTTGGAGGGAATTGTGCTATTTGGTCCTTACAAAACTTAACAAGCAATCAGCTGGAAAAAATAACTTATATTACAAATTTCTAACAAAGTTCCAGTGCTTGTTTGTCTTCATTCAGTGGATAGATTCAGAATTCCTGAAAGTGCAAAAAATGCAGTTACTTCATACAAAATTGAGTTCTTCATCACGAAGGTTCTTCCAGTGGTCAGTTGGTTTTCTTCTATTAGAATTTTAAGCTCTCCATCCAGAAAGATCAAGACATTTCTCCTGAGCATCAATAGTACGCGAGTTATTCTTACATCTTCTTCATCTAAATACAACTTCATGCTTTCCAGATTTTGTCCCTCATTACAGATGGAAAAAAAAAAAAGAGAAATTGGATATAGCAGGTTTATGAAGAGCAGCACAAGCAATATGTGTTATGATATGCATAATTCATAAAAAAGCCACAGGGCAGGTATGTCTTTCATTTTTGTACGCGATCTAGTTAACACACAAACAGCAAATGACACTGAGTTACTGTTGCCTGTGAATAAGTAGATTCATAGCATACCAGAAACTATTGTGTTTGATGACATCTATTACTGTTTTGGTCCTTGCTAGGCACCATTATTAAAAAAGAAATTAAAAAACAATAGAAGAATAGAAATCCTTCCTCCATGCCTATGTCTTCTATAATGTTGTCTGTTCCGATAGTTCAAAACCCAAGTTGCTTTCTCCCTCTTCACGGTAGGGGTTCACTGCTTTTGATCCTGTTTCATTTGCTTTTTCTCTCTTCCTCCTGTAATGAAAATTCTTTTGGTATTAAAAGCTCCTGTTATGTTCAAGTCCTTCTGCAACCCAAAATGAAGTCATTGAAATAACATTGTTCTTAACTGAGAATAGTTATACCAAAATGAATTATGTATGTTTTAATGGAAACTTCAGCAAACCCACTACTCTTTAGAAACTTCATTAACTGCAAGACATAAAAAACTAGACCAACTATATTGGCTCCAGTGCAATAACATTTAAGGAAAAAGACATTCCTCGACAACCTCTTCCAAGACGATTGAAGACTGCAGGTGCTGATGGATGTGGGCAAATTCTGCTGTGGGAAAGGGGGCTCTGCTCCGAGCAGTGCTCCATCAGCCTTGCTGCAGTGCCAGCAGAAGCCTGCCCACACTGCAGCTCTCTGCCTTATTTAAAGTGCTGTTGAAAGGAGATTGCACTGAGATGCTCAGGCAGTGCATTGCACTGGAGCACCTGAAAGGCAAGGAGCTTTACCTTTGGCCACTACTGGGAATGGGGCTGGATGGAGGGGCAGGGAATAATAAGCAGTAATTCCATAGCTTCCTTCAGCTAGCTTTGGCAGCCTGTCTGTAAGCTCCCTGATGATTCAATCATCCAAACTTCTTCCATAGTCTTATCACAGTATCAAAGATACTACTCACTTTCTTCGATCTCGCTGTCCAGTGATGATCAAGACAACAACACCAATGACAATCAGGCCCATGACCACCCCAAATATAATTAACCAGATAGTGACTGGTGGTTCATAAGGTGTGGCCAGGGTTGGAAGTATGCCCTCAAACTCCAGTGTGTTATCATCCAGTTTGAAAGCCTCATTGATCCGTTCCCGAGACATCCTGCCATGAAGAGCAAATTCAAAGCATTACCTATGTTTACAAGAAGGAAATAAAATGTTTTCATATGTTTTTTAACTATCCGGCATGCCAAACTACCACTGAACTGCACAGCTAGAAATGCTGCTCAGCAAAAACTGCTAAACCTACATTCTTCCTGTCCCAGAAGAACTCAATTCAAACCCTTGTTCTCCTGCAGCTGAAGTGACACATCCAGATACTGTGCAAGTTCTTAGACCCAATACAGCTATCCAAATGAGGCAAACAGCCTTCTGATCGCAATGTCTGCATCTCATTCTCTTTATGCATGTTTCTTGACTATATGACGGAAAAGCACATATTGTGAAGTCTTACCTATTTCTCTCCTACAGTCTCCCACAGTCTTCATCCCTGTCTCCTTCCCTTCACCCTTTCTCTCGAGTCTTTTCTGTGTCTTGTTTTTCCCATTTCTTCAAAAGCTTTTTCAACCTCATTTCATGTTGCTGCTGCTTTTAGATTCATGTCCTGTCTACATTATCCATGACCATCTGAAGACTTACAGCTTTACCGATCATTTCTACAGTAATAAATTACAGTGATGTCATGTTGTACTATGAAACAGCTCTTCAATGACCCATAACTGGGAGCTAGCTTATTCTCTGACCTTTCTGTAAAATCAAACACGTCTGGCTTTCTTTCCAGTATATCATCATAGTCATATTGCTAGTCATATTTCTTGCACTGAATTTTCATTAGTGAGATGAACAAAAGCTCACACATACATGACACACATGCACACACATGCACATGCACACACAATTCCTGCACCCTCTATTTCTGAATATAAGATAGTTCCTGTTTAAGTTTGATCAACACTATTTCCTGGCAAAGTATGAAGCAACTGATGTGTTATGACAGTTTTACAAGCCCTCTGAAGCATTTTACGTTGGCATTGAGATATCATCAGACGGATGAACTGTTTTCTTTCTGTCATGACAGTTTCTCTCATATTTCCATGCTAGTGGCAGAGCTCACTTTCTTATTACCCCTTCTGCTCCACTTGAACTTGAACACAGATTTTCCTTCTATCCTTACGCATTTTTCTCCCAGAAACCAAATCTCACCTGATGGCACTCTCCACATCCGCTCTGGGAACGACGTCACTGACATCACTAGGCATGCTGACCGTAAAGTAGAACGAGATCCTTGGTGTCTCCTGCCCTACATGGATGTCTTCAACCCTGAGTGAGAAACAGAAAAGTTTTTTTTTGATCGTCAAAGTGCCATTAGCTCTAAATCAGGCAAGTGAATAGTTTTGAAGCATTTTACATTGGCATTTTACATTGGATAGCCAAGATACCATCAGACAGATGGACTGTTTTCTTTCTGTCATGACAGTTTCTCTCACATTTCCATGCTAGTGGCAGAGCTCACTTTCTTATTACCCCTTCTGCTCCACTTGAACTTGAACACAGATTTTCCTTCTATCCTTATGCATTTTTCTCCCAGAAAGCAAAATCTCACCTGATGGCACTCTCCACATCCGCTCTGGGAACGACGTCACTGACATCACTAGGCATGCTGACCGTAAAGTAGAACGAGATCCTTGGTGTCTCCTGCCCTACATGGATGTCTTCAACCCTGAGTGAGAAACAGAAAAGTTTTTTTTTGATCGTCAAAGTGCCATTAGCTCTAAATCAGGCAAGTGAATAGTTTGTTTGACAGTGGTATTGGGGGGATACTTTGTACTGGGGAGATGTTTTTTGTGAACTCAGCTTGGAAATAAGATCAGTTTTCTTGTCATCATTTCTTTTCTTTTTTATTTCTTTCTTTTTTTATATGTGCTGATAAATAATTTTAAATGGAGAACATCTACCCCATATCTATGACAATCCTTGACAAAACTTTCCAAAGCACTATAGGAGAGAGGAATTGTCTTTTGAGTGTTTTGAGCAGGACTCAGGTAACGGATAATGTATGAAATACCTAGTGAAAAAATCCTTCTTCCTTAAATTCTGTTGGGAATAGATCCTAAACATTATATTAGTGATGTTCTATAAAGAAGTATCACAAAGTTTAAGAAGACAGCTTCTGAAAAATATCAGAGACATAACAAAAATCTTATTTTTTCATGCCAGAATCTTCTTTTTTCGATAGATTTTATGCTTGGAAGTAAACTTAGATAAGATTAGTTTGACTCCATGGAATTTTAGTGTGTGATGTTTAACGATTTCATCTTTCCTGGACCTAAAACCCCTTAGGTATTCAGAATTGTACATGTACATTGATAAGGAGAGAAAGTCTTATGAGTGTGCTGGAGTTTCCTAACTTTATCACAGCTATTCCTAAAGTTCAGGCTTGTTGACAAAGAGAAAACATGTAATGAAGCTGGTGCCTTACCCTTTGCAACCAGCCGATGTTTAACATGGTTTATTACCACCTTCCCTGCTACATCTAACTGAAGGTGCACTTAACTCCACCATCTTACACCAGAAACAATAGTTAAGCAAGCAACTCACTGGAAGTCAACTTCTTGATGCTTCACGTTTGAGAAATATATTCTCATAGCGTAGGCAATGGTTGACTTGAACAAGAAGAGTTCACTTGTATTCCATTCATACTGCAAAAACAGCGCAAGAGATTTCCATCAGAGATAATAATTATACTGCAAATTAGCTGACACTAAGAAATGATTCTTAAAAGAAATAGTAATTCCAATGCTTTACATGTCTTTCTGCATTATTTATTTGTGGTCTAATAGTGCTTCAGGAAGTTCTTCAAGGCTTTTAGATTCATTAGGCTGGGAGCTCTGCAGGAGGAAAACCAAGCAGCTGCTCCCAGTGCCAGGCAGTGCATTTTGTGTCCCAGCACAACCTCTAGTGGCTTTGGCTGAGGTTGATGAAGATGCTCAGTCCCATCTCCTTACCTGACATGCAGCAGAAGCAACACTTGCCTGTTGCATTTGCTGCAACCCCTGGTCTGAGCTTTAAAGAGAGAATAATAAAGTGGTCACCACAATGACACTGCCTGTACTTTGAAATTCAGCAGCAACTGCGAGCTGATAGCTCAGGCCGTCAGCCAGGACACAGTCTGACTCTTGGGGCTTTCATCAGAGGGCTTTCATTCCTTTGTCAGCTTGGCTGGCAGCTGCAGAGAACCACAGAAATGGCACCAGGAGTAGTTATCCCCCTCCAGAATATGAGCTTATATAGTTTGAAATGTCTGCTTTGCTCAAAAAAAGGACAGCTGATGCTGAGGTCAAATCACCATTTTTATGGGATTTCTACTTAGGGCATTCTTTCCTACTAATTATGGCACCTTTTTTTGAAGTCTGAAAATTTTGTAATTTACATGTTGTTTAAAATTACATATTTTTTTTGTAGCCCTGTCCTCTACAGGAGGAGAAACTTCCTTGGGGAGATTGGTTTTGTGCAAAAAGATGTCTCATTCATTTGCTTAAGGAGTTGGATTTTTGTTGTTGTTGTTTTGTTTTGTGCTTTGTCTGTTTTGGTTGGGGATTAGAGCCCCTTTTATGAGTATTTCTGCTGAAGGCATTTGTTTGTTGTTTTCCCTGGATAGGCAATATAAAAAAAATGAAGTGTGTCTGTGTAGAATCATAGTAATCTGCCTTATGAGGCCACAGCTATCGACAGTGGAACACAGAAATCAAAACCAGCTTCTCTGGGGCTGGTATGGAAGGCTGTACAGGGAGCAAAAACCACCGCAGGAATTGACAATGCACCCAAGTCTATTGCAACATCCCAGTACACAAAGGGAAAATTCCTTTCCGAACTCCTTAGTAGGTTTTTTATTCCCCCAAGGGTCTAGATTTTATTGCATTTATGGCTCTTTAGAAGGAATGCTTGTAAATGCTAGTGTTGGCAATAATTTTACACAGTTCCTGATTATCTCAGGTACCATTCCAGTAGGTGTGATAGAAGACAACTCCGTTGCAAAATCCAGCTACATTTTTTCATCTCTTTTCTCCTAGTGAGACCAGTGTAAAATGAAGACATGGAAGTACACAGGAGGAAAGAATAAAACAAAGCTTCTTATGCCAGCCTGGGTTGGGTCGGTCCCAGGAGAGAGGGCCGTGACCCAGAGCCTCTCCCAGGCCCTCACCCTGGTCCCAGAGGCCAGGAGCTGTGCTGTGGCCAGCTATTGCCATTAGCAAAGGTTAAAGCTCTGCTTTGCCCTGATAAATGCTTCATTTTGCTTAACAGATGCCAGGCAAAGCCGTGTGCTGAAACTCTCTTGAGCATTACCCCTATTTTCTCCAGCAGCTGGCAGTGTTCACCATCCTAGCCTGTTACACTATCATGTTTCTTTTTCCAATTTTTCATTTATCCCCAATACATTTAGGCTCTGGAGGACATTTAAAAAAAAAAAAAAAGAAAGAGAGAAAGAAAGCAGCTAATTGAGTCTGATTCTTCAACTGCTGTTTTCTGTACTTAGCAGCTCCATTGGCTTTTTAATCATTTATTTGTTTGCGTGGCATATATTTTGTCTTTTTAAGTGTGATGCATTTTAATTGCCAATGTGCCTCTCAAGTGCCTTTATAAATAACATTCCTGGGTGTAATGGAAGTGTGGATGGGAAGTACCTGGCTGGCTTCCGATCTGCGTTTCAGTAATTTCCCTAGGCATCTGCAAAATCTAACTCGGTGGTAGCTGTCGCAGAGGCTGCTTTGCTTTCCGAGCGAAATGAACTTCGCCGAGCAGACGTGCTCGGTTACAGCATGTTCCCTCCAAGCTCCCATGTGTAGCTTGAAAGGCAGCGCAAAGTCTGGCCTCTAACTCTAAAAAGATTTTCCATTTTAAAATACATACACATGCCCCATGTCTGACTGACTCCTTTGCCAAATGCCACAAGCCTGTTGCGGTGTCATCACACAGAGACCCAGCAGGGATTTGGTGAGTTAATATTTGCAAAGGGTTCCAAACAGTGCTGAAGGGATTTCCCCTCTGGCAGCCCTTTATTTGAAGCAGGGCAGATGATGAGGGATTCGCTGAGGGTCTTTTAAGAGCTCCCCTTGGGAGGGCACTGTCACCAAAACCCAGCTGGAGCAAAGCAGCAGCCGTTTCACAGCAGCCAGCAATAAGGCTGCGGCTTTAATCTCAGCAGCCTGAGAAGGACTAGCAGGGTAATTGTGTGGAGCACGCTCCAGCACAGCTGGCTCCAGCCCGTCCATGAGTCCTGGTGCTTCATTTGGCAGAACGTTGTGCTGTGGAACCAAGGGCTGCTGCTGAGCGCTCGCCGCAGCCTGCCTGTCCCTGCCAGCCAAGCTCCCTCTCTCAGTAAGAGGGGTGATTGCTCTAACCAACACTGAAGAGCGGATATAAAGATTTGCTGGCGTACTCAAAACGCTTTCTGCTGTTCTAATCATGCAGAACAGCTCTAAATGCATCTTGAACAAACAGGCACACTGGCTTCCCAACTTCCATGCACTGTGAGCAGATAAAGCAGCCAAAACATATTGCTCCGTGTTCCCAAGCTGAGAGCCCTGCCTGAGGTTTTCCCTGCCTTTTCTCCATGCCAATTCATGCATGTACCAGTATGTGCTGCTGGCATTCCAGCAGCTCAGAACTATGTCCCGGGGAGCTCCGCTTCAGGGAAGCCCATAGGCAGGGAGAGTGCCACGTTTGGAGACGTGGGCCAGTTTTGAGAGGAAAACGCATGGCTTCCTCTTCAGAGTTTAGGAACCTATTGCCCATATAATAATTCAAATTAAGTAATCTGCATGAGATTGTTTTACAGCTGCTCAATTGCACAAAAAAAGACTGTGATGGCAAAAGGCAGGCATAAAAATGGTATTAAGCTAAACATTAACCGTAATGACTAATAAATGTGTTGTAATATGGAACCTTTCCCTGCCGTTGATATCAGTTTTGAATTGTATCTAACTCGACTCAGCGGTCTAAGAAGCAATAAAATGCCACTGGGACTTGCATGGGAGGGAGTGATAGAAGAGAGAGCATCAATTCATATGAAAAATAAGCTCACAGTATTTGTCCTTGCTAGTCCAATAGGCTTCTACACACAGATCTGCCTGATGACATACTCATTCTTGGAAAATTACTGACGTTCTGCAAGGTGAAAACAACTATTAACAGGAACAAGGTGTCTGCTCTTAGACCTTCTTTGCTGCCTCTGTAAGATTAGCATAAGGAGACACAGCTAGAATAAGGAGCAAATTTTTAACCAAGTGTCTGTGTTAAACAGATGGGCTAAGTCAATGCTCAGTTTAAATCCTTAAAAGTCATCTTTTGTCTTGATTAGTTTTGTGGGTAGCTGTAAAATATTTTATAAGGCCAGCTGGCATAACTGGGGGAAGTACATGAGCTGCTGGGAACAAAAGCCCATCTTCTCATCTGCAGTTGAAGCAGCACGGCATTTACTGCACTGTGCCCCACAATCTGAATAATAAAGATATCTCTGTGCAAGGCTTGGACTGGAGGGAGAGAGACAAATTTATCAGGACTGGGAAAGATTATAGCAAATAAGCAAACAGATATCCACAGAAGAATGCAGACAGAAGAGTTTCAATGTGAAATGAAGAACATTTCAGAATACAGCATGGGATTCAACCCCTCCATTTTAACTCCACATTTAACTGTGAAGCATCTATTCTATTAATGACTTTCGAAGGCAGCTACCATAGCCATGATAATGGAAAACAAGAAAGAAAAAAATATGTGGGTAGAGGTTTCATCCTCCTCTTTTTTTTTTAAATACATCAGTATAGATGGTCAAAATATAGTACTTTTGGGCACACAGACCCCCCTGAGCCAGACCTCTAGGCTTGTCGAGCAGTTGTTGAAAAGTGAAAATTCTCTATAGAATAATTCAGCTCATCTATTTAAGTTGTCTTTCTTAAGATGGATCAGATCACTCCCAGAGAGGTCTGCCAACTAATTGTAGAGGGAGTCTTGACCGTGAACTTAATCGAGACAAGTTTTATGTGTTAATGCTTCATCTTAGTTGATGCCACTCCTCACACCCAAAACTCAGCTATACCTTGTCTTTCTTTTCAGGGGCCATTAATGCAACGTGTCTATTGCTTAAGGAATACAGAAAGTGCCACAGTGCAAAGGTACTTACCGCCTGGCTCCCCAGTGCTGCTTTCAGGCTGATGCGCACTTTGATGGCGTTGTCAGAGTCTGATTTAAAGAGAAGGAAGGAAGGAAGAGCACATCTAGATCACACCTCCTAAAGGAAATGCCTCTTTTCCTTTGTGGTGAAAGAGCAGCTCAAATGTAGATCATAGAATCATAGAATGCTTAAGGTTGGAAGGGACTTCTAGAGACCATCTAGTCCAACCCCTCTGCTCCAGCAGGGACACCTAGAGCACGTGGCACAGGGTGGCATCCAAGCGGGTTTTGAAGATCTCCAAAGAAGGAGACTCCATAACCTCTCTGGGCAGCCTGTTCCAGGGCTCTGTCACCCTCACTGTTAAGAAATGTTGCATAGATGTTTGTGCCTCACCACCATAGCAACATAAGATGTACAGCTCATTCCAGTACTGACACTGACTATGGGTTTATAACTTCTGTGGTTTAACACTCCTTGTTATCAAATAAGCTCAAAAATGCATTTTTTTTTCCACTGCCACCTCCTTTTCCTCCCCTTGAGCTCCCGTCTTTGAATAGCAAAAGAAAACAAATGGAATAGTGATAATTTTTGCTATCGGTTTGCTCCTGCTCCCTCCATCTCTGGCAATCCCTCTGTCTCGCAGCCCATGTGTCACCTACATGAGGCTGGTGTCTCCAGAATAGGCACGTTTGTCTCATGCTCACATAGCTGAAGTGATTAGTACCTTACAAGTGCAGCTGTCCAGTCTTTCTTCCTCCTGCATATCTGTGCCACATTTTTAGTACTACTGCTATATAAAAAAAAAAGGAAACTTAACTTCTGAAAGTTGGGTGAGGCTGTGACAAATCCCACACATGCTGACAACTCCTGCTTTGGCCACGAGGAAACCAGCTTGCCTTCCTAGGAGCAAAGCCTACTGCTGAGGGTACATTTCCCTAACCCCTGTTTTCCTACAGAGAAGAGTCTTTAATAGCTGCCAGAGAAGGGGACTTTGCTAGTCCTCTCATGTAAGTGAAGACTAACATCCATTTTTAATTCACCTACAGAAATTACATACATGGAGTCCAGTCTGTATTCCAACCAACAGATCTGCCGGAATTGTTTGTTTGCAGCCAGTTAAATAAAGGCTCGAAGTAGTTGAGCAAGGGTGTCGCGTTCATATATTTCTCTCCTGTTATGCTTTCTAGTGCTTCAGTCCAGGGCTTGGATCTGCCTAATTCAAGCATTTGTCTGTGTAGGAAGGAAACATTTTTTTTTTTTAATTACCATGTTCTGTGTAGACAATAGCAAAATAATCTGTAATCAGTATCAAAAAAAATTTTTTTTGTTTGTGCCTGAATTCCTTCCTTCCTCTCATCATTTTTATTAAAAAAATGAATTATTTTCTCATTAACAGGAGATTAAACCTTTAGTGGTTAGATCCTCAGATGATACAGATTAAGTTATCTTGCCAAAACAAAAAAAAAGAGAGACACAAAACATGCTTTCAAGTCAAAAAGTACTATTTCAATAAAAGTTCATTTTCGGTGTAACCTCACTGATTGCAGCAGCTTACAAGGACAACTAAGGCTTTGTTATAGCCTGATTTATTATGCACGAGGAATCTGCTTTGTTACCTCAAATTCTCGCCAGCTGCTGTAGAATTTGTAATGTCACATGTATGGAGAGGGCCAGTGTGGTTAGCCGCCTTGCAAAGAGCTTCCTGAAACTGGAACTGATAAATGGTCCGGGTGTAATATCTAAAGGAGAGGCAAGGAGAACAAAATTTCATGATTTGCTACTTGTCTGGCAGGGAAACCCCCAAGCCCTTGGCCTTTGGAACGCTTTGCTGTGTGAGTTCCCATTCCTCCTTGGAAAACTGCACATCAGGGAGGGAGGCCTGCTGCTATTTACAGGCTGCACTAACTTAGATTTAACAAAATGTCAAGCTCAAATGCAGTATAAGAGCCAAAATCTGTTTGCTGCCACGTAAATCAGGAGTGAATAAGGTTGCTCCTGGCCAGCTCTCCACACCGCTGGAGGCTGCTGGACAAAGTGGCTGAGATGCAGAGGGACCTCCAGAGTCAGTGGCTTAAGGGCTGCGTGTGTGCGACCCACATGACAGTGGTATGTATGCATGTCACCTCCCCTCAAGGTAGGAACCTCATGCAGGTAACAGAAGTGTTCCCACCAGTTTGACGATGGTAGAAAATTTCATTGCTCAACAATCTTAGCAGCCTCCCAGCTGCTCAGGGATTGCTAGAGAGGAGCACCTGATGTCCATAGGAAAATTTCCACTGAAATTTGTGCCCTTCAGTCAAGACTTTAAACAAAAGAAGGTTATGTAATAAGACTCTCCAGTTGGTGCTTAAGGTAGTCAGTGTTTCTTCTGCACCTAGAAATGTAAGTTATGATTAAACATTGAGCAAGGATGATGCTACCTTATGAAGGAGTAATCGTTGGCCACATGAAACAGTGCTGCAGGGTCACAGTAGGTTTCATCATGAGGTACAGGTTCGACCACACCAACTATTTCTCTTCTGGTGATGGAGAAAGGGAAAAAACACAGGATTTTCATTACTAATTAATGAGAAATCATCTGATTCTACTGATATGTATGGGCACCTCTTTCACTTCCGACTGGAGAAGCAAACAGAATCATACAGAATGAGTCACAGAATGGTTGAGATTGGAAAGGACCTCTAGAGGTCGTCTAGTCCAACCCCCCTGCTCTAGCAGGGACACCTAGAGCACATGGCACAGGGTGGCATCCAGGCAGGTCTTGAAGATCTTCAGAGAAGGAGACTCCACGACCTCTCTGGGCAGCCTGTTCCAGGGCTCTGTCACCCTCACAGGAAAGAAGTTCTTCCTCATATGGAGATGGAACTTCCTGTGTTTCAACTTGCACCCATTACCCCTTGTCCTATCACTGGCCACCACCAAGAAGAGTTTGGCCCCATCCTCCCTACATTCTCCCCTCAGGTACTTATACATATTGATTATATCTCCTCTCAATCTTCTCTTCTCTAGGCTAAACAGGCCTAGATCACTTAGTCTTTCCTCATAAGATAGATGCTCCAGTCCCTTAATCATCTTTGTCGCTCTACGCTGGACCCTCTCTAGAAGCTCCACGTCCCTCTTGTCCTGGGGACCCCAGAACAGCACACAGTACTCCAGGTGCAGTCTCACCAGAGCTGAGTACAGGGGGAGGATCCCCTCCCTTGACCTGCTGGCAAAAAAAAAAAAAGAAAAAAATATGTACGGATCCCCAGCTGGAGATCACAAAGAAGAAACTGTGTTGAAATCCATAGCACAAAGACATTACAGCAAGGTGTGCAGGGAGAAATTGGTGTGAAAATTCTACAAGACACCACAGACATGCCGTGGGCCAACATGGGGTCAGAAAATAACATTAGTGCTTGTGCGCCAGGTGACTGCAGGTGGGGATTAGGTGAACCAGATATGTGATTTGCAATGCCATTGGGCTGGGGATGAGGTTTCATTTATTTCTCCTCTCCCAGGTGTTCGTTTCCTGTACAGTACTAAGGAAACAAACACACAGGCCCCTGTTTCTGAGAGTACTTATAAACTTACATGAAAAAGCTTTATCCGCAAACCTACACAACAACATCTAAGTACAAGATTTTAGGAAGATTTGCAACGCTACTATAACAGACATGGTAAACATCTCTGAAACGCTTGTATTTCTTGATTTCTGACATCTCTGCTACTTTCAAAAATATTTTTTTGACTGATTTTTACAGCAGTTCTTGTTTATACCAGGGTTTATTATAGATTTGGTTTATTGATGGAGACTCCATTTTCAATGTGGGTCTTGCTTGGTTTCTTTGTGTTTTTTTGCTTCCATGTTAAGCCACCAGGGAATGACAGACTCCCATCCAAAGCAAACTGTTTTTTAGCTCTGAAGCCCAGGGTGCTGAAAATAGGTTAACCGGTGGGAATCATCTGCAAAAAGGATCTCTGGGTGTTTGCCGAGGGAACTGTATTTTCTTGAATGAGAAAGGTGATAGCTAGAAAAGACCGGAAGCAGAAAAAAAGTCTGGCCTGCATGAATATCAGTGTAAAGGGGAGGAAAGAAGCAGCCTGGATTCTGTCAGACATTTACATTCAAAGATACTCTACAATAGTGAGAAAAAAAGAATGTGGATATACTGCCCGTGAGACCTTGCCTGCCTGCACTCTATTCTGCTTTGTAGAGACACCCTGTGACCAGACCCTGCACTGAGGGCACCTCACTAGCCAAGGAAGGGTTTGCGGGATCATCTGCAAAGACGCTCCTCGTTTCTCAGACTTACTTCATCTCCCACCACCGCTTCCCATTCGTGCTTTGTGATATCACCGTTAAACACCATCCACCTCCACTTCTCCAGCATGTAGGTAAAAGGCATAGTTCCAACAATCGTTAGTGCTTGCTTGAGCAGAAAGTTGATTTCAGTTTCTGAAGACAGAAGCAGTTAAGGTAATGGTTATGGTAGCAATTACTATATGATTAGAGAGCTAAAGTAGCTTCTTACAGCTAATGTTTACATTCAGCTGAATGCATGGCTTTTCATTAAGGAAAAAAAATAGAAGAATACTGATGGGGAGAAAAAAAAAGAGAGAGAGAAAATATCACTGAAGTATTGTATATAATACTGTTATCTTTTTTCCCCATCCAATTCTACTTGTTAAATAATCTATTCCTTTGGCATATAAGCTTCATTTTCCTCCAGTCCAGAGTCTGGATAATAGTAAAGTCTTTAGTATATTACATTAGAATGATGGACACACTCAGAGAAGCCAAACAAATTGCATTATAATGAGAGCTTGCGTCACAAATGTTGGCTACTAGTTATCCACATAAATGAGAGAGGAAAATCTTAAGGCTTCACTCTCGTTTAAGCTACTAAATATATTCCTTGGTAGAGAGGTGCATGTGGATTTATGTAACAAAAAATGAAGACTATTTGTGGCTCATCTAGGTGAGCTATGAAGATTTTGCAACGAATTGTTCCATACTGAAGGTTATGAAGAGCTAGAAATTTATTTATGTATTATGAAGTGGTGGTGGGGGCTGGTTTGGGCATATAGATGACATTACATACAAAGTAACGATGTCCCTCTCTTTGTGATTTGGGGAAAAAGTATTATTTCTGATAAGTCAGTGAGAGATAATTTTCAAAATCTCTAGGTTGCTTATTCGGTTTTAGTCTGACATAAAAATACAGTGGGGTTTTGTCTTTGAATATATTTTATGGGTTTATTTACCTGTATCCTCCTGGAACGTTGGCTCTAGGAGGCCAAGAGACTTCAGATGCTGAGGCGTAGCTGCGGAGAGTGACATGATCTCTCCAACCGCTTCGTGGAAGCCCTCGTTTGCCCCGCTCCTCAGCAGGTAAGGCAGATGCGCGTATGCCATGTCGTACTCGATGTGGCCCATCTCGTGATGCGCCGTCAGGAAGTCATCCATGGTCACCTTGGTGCACATCTTGATCCTGCGCTCCAGGACAAAACATTTGCAGCTGGAGAGGGGCTGGGACAGCCAGGTTGCTGCCCAAACCAGGCCCCACCATCACTGACTTGGGACCTTGCTAGTTCCCCATGCTCCAAGGAAAACCCGACCATCTGCCTCCTACCATGACCTAGAGCCCCTCCAAGTGAGGAGTCTAAATAACTGTCTGAATAAGGTTTCCTTTCACCTTATCCTGTTTGCTCAGATGAGGCTGACCGCTTCCAGCTCTCAGGCAAGGATTTACTGGGGATCAGCCTCTTCCCTTGATTAGTGGCAGGGTTTGCAAGAAGGGACAGAGCTTTTCCCAAGACACCTCATTATGTGGGAGATTGTGATCCCTCTCTCATCCCAAATGTCAATGTTTTTTTCATAAAGCTCTGGAAATCTGCATACTACTTCTGATATATTTACTAAAGATAGCAAGTGTCCTCTCAAGGGTTTTTTTCACTTACTCTCTAGGAATCTGTTGCAGAATGTGTAAGAGGCCACATAACTCACAGGTATCAACAAGTACATGCATTTGTGCTTATTTTAAAGCCCTATAGTATAGTCATTATATATTTATATAAACAACAGTCACTTCTCTGCTGAAATTTAGGGGTAGTCCTTATATCTTCACTTAAGAAGTCACATGGCGTTGTGGGTTTACATGCCCACAAGGTCTTCCATTGTTTTGTCTTCCATTCCTCTCCTATTAACCAGTAAAAAAAGAGTGGGGAGGAGGCAGGAAATTTAACTTAAAACAACAATTTGCCACCGCACATCTTAACTAAAATATAAATGTTCTGGGAGTTGGTATGAGAAAAAGTTATTGTAATTGCAGTACCTGTAGTCCTTTTTCCCCATATCCCATGCTGTAGGATGGCAAACAACCTTCCTGTTATCAGTCGGCTCTGTGAGCATGGAGTTTTTCCAGAAGCCTTCGGTCATATTGTAGAGCCCAACAGAGGTGAAGAAGGCCTCAGCAGCTTCAAATATTTTGATGGCATCCCAGTTCTAAAACAGCCATTGCCACCATTAGTCATTTCTTCTGTGGGTAACCTGCTCTCACAGTTCCTAAAATCAGATTTATTCTGGCAACTGGCTTAAAACAGTACAGTTGATTTCATATTTGTCCCTCAAAGACTTAAAATCAACATCTTACTGAAAGTAAACATCTGTCATGGGCAATTTTGAGATACTACTGGGAACTGGAATTAAGTTTTTCCCT